CTGATCAGGCAGGCGTTCGGCGAGCCTCGCCAGTTACGGCCAGTACCGACTGACTGACGAAGAGATGACAAGTTCGATCTCGCGATAACTCCTAGAGTAGGGATCGGCCGACCTAAACTCTACGGATTTACTTCGTGACGATTCGGAGCCCTTGTCGGCCTAATTAAGAACAGAACCTTAGACATTTCTAAGTAGGTTGGGGCCTCGCCCAACCCACGAGCAATGACTAAGTCGGACAAGCGAGCCAAGCTCAGGTGACAGTCGCTAGCCCGAGCTATGCTCCGAGCAATAGTTTGTCGAATTCGGAGCAAGAACCACTTCGGAGAATGACAAAACTCTAATGGATCTTTCGAATTTAAAAACTAAACGAACGCTTGCTGAGCTAAAACTCTAAACTCAACGGAAATTACGCTGAGGCAAATGTTCAAACGAGACCTAGGGGTTCGAATTTAAAGCATGGGTTACTTCGGAAGTGAATGAACTCTGATAACCCCTAACTAAATTCCATGACCACGAGACGAGTTCTCGTCTCGAAGCATTGAACTGGATTCGAAATATACAACGAAAATCACGCTAAGGCAGATTTATAAAAAAAAAAGAAATATTAGAATCCATCGAAAAACAAAGCCTCCGCTGCGAACACCAAAATAAAGTCAAAGAAAACCCATCCGAAAGGGCACAACAACGGAATTACAAAAAAAAAAAAAACTCCACGAATGGAGGGGAAAGAGAATACAAAACAGGAAGGAGAGGCGTCATAGCAAGACAGGCTACTCTTTGGATATCTCAGCATCATCATCGCCGCGGGCATCCGTCTCATGCGCCCGAGAAGCATTCGTCGACGATGCCGGATGGTTCGAAGTCCGCTGACTAGTACCTTGGTCCTCATCCATCAAGGGCGAATTGGCGCTCGCCTTGTCACTCTCAACGGATTTGCCTTGGCCATCTCCAGAGCCATCGAGACTTGATATCTCTATCTCGTCCGAAGGATCAGGAACGCGCCAAGCACCATCCGAATTAGCAGGGGAACGGAGTTCAGCAGCAACCGTATGATTGAGTTCGTCCATGTTTGACCCATTCGGGTCAAACCCATCGACGGCATTCCTGTTGTAACCAACCATCATATAGGCGAAGATCGTGTCGTTGAAGTACCTGGAGGACACAACCAACTGCGAAAGACTGTAGTCGTTTTGATCGGGAGACCCGAGATACAGCTTTTCAGCCTCCGCCTTACGAACCCTCTCTTCTTCTTTGAACTCGTCTATTTTAGCCTGCGGAATGGCCACCCCTTCGTCTCTCATCGCCTCCAGACACTTCCGTGTCCCGAAGGCCTGAACCCAGAAACCCCGCACGTCGTCATACACGTCGAGTTTTGCGTCGCAAGCTTTGAGACGCTCAAAACGAGCCTCCGCCTTCTTAGTCATCGCGTGCAGAGTCTTCGCTCGTTCACGCGTGACCTCCAGAACTCGACTCCCTCTCAAATGGGAGGCCTCATAGTCAGCATCCTTGGTAATCTTCTCCACCTTTGCCTCGAGCTCAGCCTTATCCTTCTCGATTTCAGCGGACGCGGCCTTAGCAACCCTCAACTCTTTGGAAACACCCTCAAGATCCTTAGCCCGAGTCTCAGCCAAGCCGATCGCTTCTTCCCGCGCGAGCTCTGCTTCCGCAAGCGAGGCTTCGAGTGTGACGGAGCGTTCGCGCTCATGATCGACTGCGTTCTGTACTTCTCCGAGGCTGACGTACGTTGCCTTCAGCTCGTTATCGTACTTTTCGACCAAAGCGTTCATGCCTTCGTCAGCCTGGAACGTAGTACATATCAGCATAAGTATGAGTAAGACACAATCGCCGTGTCTAAAGAAGGAAGATAAAGACGACTTACTGCCTCCTTGAGACGAGCTACGTTCAAGTAGGCGTCGCGAAAAGTTAACTGGTCGAAACCCGGAAGAATCCTCGGGTCGCGAGCGTGAGCTGGATCAGCCGATGGGTCAGTTCCTGCATCAGAAAGGGCTACCTTTTTCGTTGCTTTCTTCTTCTTGCCCGTCTTTTTCTCCTTCTTCTTGGAACCTTCAGGAGGAACCACGTCCTTTCCAAGCGAAACGTCCTCATTTTAAGGATTCGGAGCAATATGTTCTTGCTCCCCTTCGACCCTTTCCTCAGAAGCGTTGTCAGCTTCCTTGTCATCTCGAGCTCCCGAGCCCTCCTTGGAAGCAGACCCGTCACCCGCGGGCTTAGAGCTCTTCTTCTTCTTCGCGGGAGGTTCCGCCGACGCGCTACCGTCGATCGAGTCCACTTGGACTTCAGTATCTGCAGCCCGTGGCCTTTTCGAACCCCCCCCCCCCCACAGACGGGTCAGGCATGTCCGAAGCAGCGACCACGGGAAGTGAGAGAGTCGCATCGCCAGAAAGATCCCTTCCTCCCAAGTTTAAACTATCGATCACGCTCATCAACTCGGTCCCTTGTGGTGCCCTTTCTCGCTTCTTCTTCATCGGCTGGGAAAGATCCACATGCCCTTTCATCGCTAATGCCTCCTTAACCGTCCGCTGCTCTTCTGCTGTGTAGAGCTTAGATCTTTTCTTTCCGGGTCTGACCTTGCACCCAACGTCCTTCTCCCAATCAGCTACCGGAATAAAACAGCATTAGGCGACGCGCATACTTTAAAAAAAAGGAGGGAGGGAAAGCGAGCAAGTAAAAGTCCTCGATACCTTGATTAATACGATCTATCCAGCGTTGGATCCTTTCCTCGCTGATGTCAGGCCACAAGTGATGACCTAATTAGACCAAAGCTCGAGCAGTAGATAGAAACGAAGGCGGAACGGCAGAGTCGGACAAATAATAGTTAGGATGCGGTTCTGCACAACAAAAAGGAACAGTTAGACCAAACAAAAATCGACAGCAGTCAAGACGAGCTAACTACCCGCTACACTGTTCCAATATGTCCTAAATTCGTTGTTAGGAGGATCGACGAAGGCGAACTGGTCAGACTTGACGTAGAAATAGGAGCGCTGCCACTTCGGGGTCTTGTCGGGGTGACCAGTGATGATATTGTAGTTCTGTCTCATCCAGATCGAGTACAGACCGTGATTCAAGAGAGATATGGGCGTCAGCTGTTCGAATGCGTAGACGCACAATGAGACATCAATCTCTGCAGCCATAACTATAAGGGCAACCATAATTCGAAAGGCCCCATTCAAAATATGACTTAGGGCGAGATCCCGGCGCGAAACGTAACGTTACGAGGTGGGGAAACGAAAACCAAAGCTTGGTATAACCTTCGAAGTACGACTCGTAAACGCATTAATAACCAACTGGAGGCGACCACGGGCGTTGCTCTACAGTCAGAATCAAGTATGTAACACCCACAACATTGCGGGCTACGAGTAAAGCTTCTACCGACTTCGCAGTCGAATGCGTCTTCTCGGTTTTCGCCCAAAACTGAGTTCCAGCGCGAAGAAGCATATCCTCGGGAAGCGCGGGCTCCCGTCCAAAGACTCCCATGCCACTATAGTGCGTAGGGACCTTCAGGCGAGTATCTTCTTCTTCCGACTCTGCGTTAACTCGATTAGTTCGCCTAGATCGAGCTCGCCTAGACGAAGTAGGACGAGATCGACCAGACGGCGGAAATCCGAGGCGCAGCACCCTCAGATCATTCATTATCTCTGCAGCGAAATTCCCGTCATCCTCGCCTCTGAACTCTCTTTCCGAATCGACGACCAGCAATCTCTGAGCCAGGTCAAGACCAGCCGAATCCCTCAACGCTTCCCAATGCCCTAAACTAAAATCATCTAAGGGCTCACCGGTGGTCTCGTCCCGAGCAGGACTCGACGTCGTAGCAACCGCTTTCCCTTTTTCTTCCGCCGACAATCTCTTTCGCGGACACATCTTACCGACGAACGTATATATTTTACAAATAAGTCTAGAGAGAGAAACTAGAGAAAAGGGAGAGAAGGAGTACCTGTAGAAACGGAGAAGTGATGAGAATGAAGAGAGGAAGGGTATTTATAGGCAAGGAAGAGGGGTGCAATTCTCGAAGGCAATAATTAAGTCTACTCGAGCCTAGTTGGGCCAAAAAGCCGCCCGCAACTGTTCATATTCCGAGTTAATTGGGCTTCAATTCCCAAGAAACTTCTGGACCCCGCGACTGTTCACGTTCTCGTCCGAACTCCGAGCTAACGACCACGAACGCGCCATTGATGAACTCGAGGGTAGCATTTACAAATGGTATGGGCCTCGAGCCGACGGCCCGCACCCGCGAAAGCAACCGCATTCGAACCCGCGAGTCGGAAAGCCGCTATTAGGGAAGACGACGTAATGCATTAACTGACTTTGTTATTCTATTGACCAACTTGACGAAATCCGCTCCGATTAAGAATATAACTCGGCAGCAGATCTGGGGGAGTTACTGTAGGTGGTGGAATATACTTCCTCACCAGGCCCATATAATAACAAGCTCAGCCCAAACGAGTTCAGACCCAACAAAAGAGCTCTCCGATAATCAACGATTGATTGAGCTTAGCTCGGCTAATCTCCGCAATTAGCCGAGTTAAAGAGGTTTAGGCAAAGTGCTTAACTTAGCGGGCCGACCAAGGCCCATTTTGGCGAAAGCCCTCAGGAGCCGCGATGAGTCTGCTAGGTTAAGGCATAACTGCTATAAAAGGGAGAGAAGAGCTAACGAGGAAGGGATCCGAAATCACTCTCACTCATAAGGCGGCTAGAACTAGGGTTTTCACTCCTTTACTTCTTTTCCGACTTGTACGGCACGGCCGAGCTCCCCGCGAGACTTTGCCTTGCCTCTCATTTCCTCATTTGTAATCAAACTCTCTCTCATCAATAAAACTACATTTTTTACTCTAAATAGTAAGAAAACGCCTTTGAAATAACCCACCGACGAGTCCTGTCACTCATTTACTGAAAAGACCGAACTCGGTTCAAACAATTGCAACCCATCATTTTGTATTGATGGCCAAGAGGGATGATCTGGCAATCGACCATATTCATCAAAGCTAGATCAGATCTTGAAATCTCCATAAAGGAGAGGGAAGCTCCATATGACCCTCTGACTCATCTCGGCATATTCTTCCTAGAAAATACTCACAAGGCGACGCAAAAGGAGTTGGGAGCCTTAAGAGGAACAAAGGGATTATCTCAAGGGTGCACAAGCCTTGGCTCTCGTAAGGAAAATCAGCGAAGGAGGGGAGAGAGTATGTTGGACGTAAGAGGCAAGCAGGATAGGGAAATGTGGAGCGCCACGAGGTGCAAACAGAGCGAGCATGAATACCAACGAAACAGTCCTCCACATTCCTGGAGATAATCTCAAGTAGCTCTTCAGGGAGATGGGACAAATCTGGCATGGGAGATGTGTCTTTTACTCTTTTTTCATTGCAGGATGTGTCATTTTTGCGGATGGAGAAACTTGAATGAAAAATTGTAATTTTAGGAGTTAAACGAAGTTGTTTTTTATAGGTAAACCAATCTTTAGAGATAACTTGTATGTAAAACTACATCTAGTTGATCCAAATCCTCTTTTTACACCAAACTACAATATATGAGCTGATACAGAATCTGGGAGAAGAGAGCAGTCTAAGCATTAAAGATCATGTCTTCTTCTCCGTTTCAGGATGTGCCATGTGTTGCTTTTTGCAAAATCTAAAAGAAGTTTTACAATAGTTAGGTTTAGCTGTAAGCAAACATCTATATTATTAAAACTGAAGTACCTTTTGCTACTGTTTGGAAATAATGATAGCAAAATAAATGAAACATTGTTTGGAAACATGGGTAGTAGATTAAATAATTTCTTTTATTTGTACATTTAGCCATTGTATTTACAATAAATTAAATACTATTTCTTTTTATTTACAGATTATGTCATTGCATTTAAAATCAGTTTAAATTAATTAATTTCAATGGTTTTTCTTTCTCTGTGATGAAAATAAAAACACAAACCGAAATATATAGTATACCTTATACAATAATTTTTAAATATAATATTACCTTATTTAATTTAGTAAAATATAAAATTGTGTGAGTTCAATTTTTTTAAAATATCATAAAATTAATGATAATTCATAGAAAACTAATTCAAAAAAATAATTTTTAGTATGTTGTTTTATTTTAAAATAAATTAACCAAAAAACAACATGTTAGTATATGAATAGTACGATTACATCAAATTGCATCAAGTTATAAAATTTCTAATATATTACTATGTACAAATAAAAATTATTATTAAATATTTATATTATAAAATAATATATTTTACTTTATATGTAAATTAAAAGACATAAAAAAAATTTGTGAAAAAACAACGGTTTGTGAATTTACGTTAAACACAAGTTAAATCAAACACCCGCACGGGGGTGCGGGTCAAGTTCTTGTGAAACTATTAAAACTATATTCAATTTCGAGAGAGTCCTTACCAAAAAATTGGATTATACATGTTAAGAACACAGGGAAGTGTTCCCGCTGGCTACTGAAGATAAAATTTAAAATCTGGATTCTTCCAATATCCGGTGATCGAGAAGGACTCTAAAAGATGGATTTTTAACATTAAAACCCCTCAACTAAATATTTCACGAAAAAACTCTAAACTAACTTTATTTAATAAATTAAATCCTTTTCGATCATAATTATCAGTACTACCAGTAAATCTTTAGTTTAAAATTTTTTATTATTAAAAAAAAAAATCAAAATATAATAACATTATCTAAAAATTCATAATTTTCATTTTCAAAATTATCATTTTTAAAAATTTCTGTAAATATATGAGTTTGGTTTGTTATCCTTTTAAAATCAACATTATATAAGTATAAATTTAAAATGTAAAAAACCATAAAATATAACAAAAATTATCTAAAGATTTACCTGTAATAAAAATTATCATAAAGTTATAAATGTAAAAAACAAGAAATTAGAATCAAAATTATATCTTATCTAATAAAAATGTTATAACAAATCTTTAGCTAATGTTTATTATATTTTATTTTTCAATTTTGATTTATATATATATATATAATGTTGATGTTAAAAACAAATCAAAATCATATATTTAGAGAAATTTTTAAAAATGCCAATTTTTAAAATTAAAATTACAAATTTTTAGATAATATTATTATATTATTATATTTTGAATCCCTAAACTAAAGATTTACCGATAGTAATGATAATTATGACCGGTAAGGGTTTAATTAATTAAAAAAAGTTAGTTTGGGGATTTTTTAGTTAAATATTTAGTTTAGGGATTTTTATCCAAAACAAACTTAGTTGAAGGGTTTCAATGTTAAAAATCGTTAAAAGATAATTAAAGTTACACTCAACTAAAGTTGGCGGAGGCTTAAACGGGAAGTTGGATTTTTGTAACATCTTAGAACATCTCCAAAAAGACTCTATTTGGAAGTTTTTAAAATTCTATGTTTGATATTTCAAGCTGATATTTTTCAAAAGTAAAACTTCAAACATAACTTCAAAATTATTTATATTTTACATTTTGATCCCTTTATTTTACATTTTGATCTTAATATTTGTCCTAGTTAATGTAAATTCATAAAACATTGATAAATAAAAAACATATATATATATATAAATTATACAACAATATTAATTTATAAAATCTTACACTAAAATATAAAATTATAAATACAAATACATGACTACTACAAATACAATACGACATTTTTGTTGTCTAATTTTAATTTTAAAATATATAAAAATACTAAACTACAAGCAACTATTTTAAAATTTATTGTAAATTTTTATTTAGTTTTATGTCTAAAACTTAAATTTTTAAAAGGTAAAAGTTAATTTGAAATATTTTTGAGATATAAAAAATTGAAGGATTAAAATGATAAACAAAAAAGTGAATTATAAATTTTATTTGTAATTATAAAGACCAAATTGTAATTAAAAAATATGAAACTTAAAATTTAGAGTTTTGAGTATTAAAACTTGAAATATAGAGTTTAACTCTTCAAAACTTTAAAATTGAAGTTTTGAAATTTCTTTTTGGAGAGTAAAAATTATATATTTGAAGTTATAGAGTTTTTTTTTTGGTGATGTTCTTAGAACATCTCCAAAAGACACTTTATAACACCAAATATAGAGTTTTTGGCTCTCCAAAAAGAAATTTCAAAACTTAAAATTTGAAGTTTTATCTTTTTATTTGCATTTTGATCCTTACAATTAATTATATATTATATTTATGATTTTTCAATATTTTCTCGTTTAACATTTTAATCCTTAAAAATTTTATATCTTATTGATATTTCAAATTTGTTTTATAAATTTAAGTTTTATACATAAAACTTTAAAATAAATTTTATATTATTTTAAAAATAAAATTAGACTTCATGAATATTACAAAAGAAACTTAAAAAAAAAATTCAAAGAGGTACATGAAAAGCATAGTTATTACATAAATTTAAATATTGTAACAATATTAATAGTATGGTAAATTCTCTGAAACCTTCAAAATCACCAAAATATTATCCAAATAAGCATTGTATAACTGAAGATGGAGCATTATGGAAATAATTCTATGAAATAATGTGAAATTTTGTTTGTATTTTATTATTTAGTTATGTATTTCTATTTACAGTTTTATATTTTAGAAGAAATGTTTTTTAATTAATGTTACTGTTATGTTTTTCATATATATGTTAGTTATTTTAAAAAAGTTTATGAATATATATTAATTATGACCAATATAAAGACCATAACTTAAAATACAAATAGTTTTAAAGTTAGATTTGAAATTTTTCTTTTGGAGAAGAACATATTGAAACTTCAAAAATAGAATTTTACAAACTCTAAAATAGAATGTCTTTTTTGAGATGATCTTAGAGCATCTCCAAAAGACACTCTATAACTTCAAATATGAAGTTTTTGGTTCTCCAAAAAGGAACTCTAAAACTTCAAATTTGAAGTTTTGAGTAGTGAAACTTCAAATATAGAATGTCACTACTCAAAACTTCAAATTTGAAGTTTCATATTTTTGTTTACATTTTGGTCCTTACAATTATACATTATATTTATAAGTCTTATATATTTTATGTTTTTATCATTTTAACCGTTGAAAATTCATATCTAGTTAATATTTCAAATTTTTTTTATAAATTTAAATTTTACACATATTTTTTTCAAAAAAATAAACAAGATAAGATTTAAAACAGTTAAGATTAGAACTAGACAACAACAATATTACAAAACTTAAGGTGATATTTTATTTATAGTTTAACAATTAATTATATATTTCTATTAATAATTCATATTTTAGTGTAATATTTTACCATTTAATATTGCTGTAATATTTTTATATGTGCTAGTTATTTATAAAAGTTCTATGAATTTAAACTAGTTATGACAAATATAAGGACCATAGTATAAAATACAAATAGTTTTAAAGTTAAATTTGAAGTTTTGTTTGTGAAGCATAACACCTACAAACTTCAAATATAGAATTTTCCAAACTCTAAAATAGAGTGTATTTTTAGAGATGCTCTTAATACAGAAATATAAATATCACAGTACTTCAGGACAACTGTGTTGACAAAGGCGTTGACAAAGGCGACTAACCGTTGATTATTAAAGGATTTTTAACATAAAAACCCCTCAACTAAGTTTTTTTTGGGTAAAAACCCTTAAACTAAGTATTTAATGAAAAAACCCCCAAAATAACTTTATTTAGTGAATTAAACCCTCGCCGGTCATAATTACCAGTATTGCCGGTAAATCTTTAGTTTAGAGGTTTTATCATTAAACATAAAAATCAATAAAATTCAAAATATGATAACATTATCTAAAAATTTGTAATTTTAATTTTAAAAACTAGCATTTTAAAAAACAATTTGTAACTATATGAGTCTGGTTTGTTATCTTTTTAAAATCAAAATTATATATGTATAAATTTAAAATGTAAAAACCAAGATAATATAAGAAAAGTTATCTAATGATTTACCTATAATAAAAATTATCAAAATTTATAAATATAAAAACAAGAAAACAGAATAAAAATTATATCTTATTTAATAAAAATGTAATAATAAATCGTTAGATGCTTTTTATTATATTTTGGTGTTTTAAAATTTTAATCTATATATATAATATTGATGTTAAAACAAATCAAACTCATATAATTACAGAAAGTTTGCAAAATGCTAATTTTAAAAATTTAAGTTACTAATTTTTAGATAATGTTATAAGTTTTTTTTTAGATTTTTAATGATAAAAACCCTTCAACTATGTTTAATATGTGGGTTTACTTGTTAGTTTGAGGTTTTTTACCCAAAACAAACTTAGTTAAGGTATTTTAGAGTTAAAAATCCATTTTACAAGGATAAGAAATCACTCATATATTTATAGAAATTTTTAAAATGCTAGTTTTGAAAATTAAAATTACAAATTTTTAGATAATGTTATTATATTTTGATTTTTTTTTTAATTTTTATGTTTAATTATAAAACCCCTAAACTAAAGATTTACCGGTAGTACTGGTAATTATGACCGGCGAGGATTTAATTCACTAAATAAAGTTAGTTTGGGATTTTTTTCATTAAATACTTAGTTTAGGGGTTTTTACCCAAAATAAACTTAGTTGAGGGGTTTTTATGTTAAAAATCCATTATTAAATATAAAGACAAAACAACTAGGAGTAGATGAATCCTTTCGGGTAAGAAACAAAGGTCTACGATATTTCCAATGCTTCGATTAGCATATCTATACATTTATCGGTCCACTAAAAAAAAAGTAAGAAGAGGACTAAACAGAAGAATATAATCCTATAATCCCTCTATTTCATAGTTTTATAATAAAAGCTTGTAGCCATGAAATGTTGTTTTCGGCATCTGTTGTAGATCATTGGTCCAACAAATGACATTGATACCAGAAACTAAAGTATACCCAAGAAAAACTAGAATACAGAATGGTAGCTTTCAGCATCACAGGAACCTGTAAGAGAATTCACTAACCAAATTGTTTTGTTCATACTTTTTTTTTCTCAATTCTTATTCATTATTTGTCTTGCTACAATTGGATCGTGAACTCTTTTAGTCGTGGCTTCACCTAGTAGAAGTCTACTTTGGAAAATTGAAGATTATGGGTTCACGGTCCAATTGTAGCAAGACAAATAATGAATAAGAAGGAACATATACAACTTGGATGTCAAATCTCTATGGGGTAGATTCAGGTCATCAACTGTATTTGGAGGAAAAGTAAAGGGTCTGGCCAAAAATGCAGTAAAGAGAGAACCCCAGGGGTCTATCAAGAAGAAGAGGATGAAAGCTCGAAAGTAAAAGGAATTAGTGGAGAAAGGTACCTAATTTGGTGGAGGCTTTGGTATATATCTAGACGAGCATGGGAAATTCACTTTCATGAACCTTCCGACTCCTTCTATTACATGGATCATACCTCCTCTTTAGTCTTATCTAATGGAGATGGCAATACAACGCTGTTAACAAATAAAAAATCTGATGGCTCTGAATTCTTCACCTTTTAAATTCTCATTATAAACTTTCTACAGTAGTAACGTCGTTAGATGGGCCACAAGAGTAAGATATACAACCAAACTAAAGACTTGTTTTTAGTTTCTAGGATTCCAAACTTTCTCAAATTCCCACATGTTTTAACAAACTCATGAATCTATCTTTCAGCGAATAATACCAACCAGAGATCACAAAATGCCAACGGATGTCTCAAGTAGCCAAAGTAGGAGTCACAGGTGGACGCTCAACCCGGAGGGCCACCACAGGAGAAGTACTGAGAATCGACACACGAAACTCTCTAGACAATCTCCAAATACCAAGGCCGTCTCCTTCTCCTCGTGTATATTTATAGGCGAATGTCACACGGCCTCGCTCACTGGTGTACACAATCGAGTTCCCACTCAAACCACAACCATCAGGAAGCTCCTTACCCAAACAACAAACATTCCCAAAGTGTCCAATAAACAACACACGCCCTCCCAAATCACTAACCGCAACCCATTTACCAGCTTTCTCATCGAGCCTACTCACTCTACAGTTAAACAAACCAAAATCAATTATAGTCGGATCAGGAAACGGGTAGAACTTCTCAACAAGAAACAATTCATCATCATCATCACCACATTTAACCAAGTTATTGATATTAATCGCGTGCTGCAGAGGCGGGGAAGGCATCAGGGGAGTGACTTCCATCAAATAAGGATCCAAAACGAAAACCCCCGCGGTAACAAAAGACGCATAAAACATGCCTCGAAACGCAACGACTTCATAGAATGTATCATCTGAGAACTCCTCAATACCGATCCACTTCATTTCAGCGCTTCTAAAGATATACAGAAGTTTAGTGTAGTTAAGGAGAAGAAGATAGTCATCATCTCCTTTCCCTGGAATAACAGCAACGCCTCTGTAAGCCGACGTCGGTTCTCTAGGATCAAATCCGATCACTCGGTAGTGATGACCTAAAGGGAAGATCTGAAAATCGAGAATGTTCGCCACGTCGAGTACTCTTTCGTGAACCTTCACTTTCAACGAGCAGCTCTGAGTCTGAGATGAGTTCTGCTCATCTTTGATTACTCCGCCTATGAAATAGAGAGAAGGCAAAATCGGACGAGTTTTGGCTCTGAAGAGGAAGATAGGGACCTTCTCGAGAGTGCAGAAGTCGTCGCTTTCGTAAGGAAACTCGGCGAAGGAAGGGAGAGAGTGAGTCGGGCGTGTTAATCGATGTTCGGGAAAGGGGAATGAAGATCGCCACGAGGTGCAGACGGAGCGAGCGTGGAGGACGTCGAAACAGTTGTGGAGTTTCGTGGAGATGACGTGAAGAAGCTCTCCAGGTAGAAGAGTCCAATCTGGTATCGTCATCGATGGATTCTTCTTTTTGCGTGCAGGTTCTGACATTTTTGATGATGGAGATGGAGACGGAAATGGATGTGATTTCGTATCGAACCCCTAATTTCGTCACCGAGAGATTTTAGTTTCTTTGATGTAAAACTCAGAATCTCATTAATTGGGAAAGTTTGTTACAACCGAACTTATATACAAGCAACACACTCTAAACCAACAATAACCAACTCGTTTACATCTTAAGTTAAATGACAATAAACCGGATGATTCCAGAGCCCTTAACCGGTTTTCACTAAAAAGAGAGAGTTTCGTGTGTCGATTTTTGATGATGTTAGACATCGTCGAGTCTATTTTTTTTTCCGTTTGTATGTTCAGCTATTCGAAGGTGAGACATTTTTCTTGTGGCTGGAGCGTAAGGTTTCATTCACAAGTGAAACCAAAACCGACAATGGGTTATGGGTTGAAGCCCATTAAACATTAGCTTTTTGAGCCTCATTCTTTTAAATATGTTTAAAAGCCAATTGTTGAAAACTATGGTGTGATGATTGTCTCGATGGATACAATATATATTGATTAGAGTGTCTCAATGAGGAAAGATTCTCCCAGGCACTACTACCAAAAAACTAAAGCAACGTCAACTAAAGCAACGTCTTCAACGTTCGAAAGGTGTGAGAGTGACATCTCGATAGTTTGCTGAAACCGGAAAGAATCTTTCAGTCCATACCATACAACATAATGCAAGCCCTACTTCTTTTTCCTATCTAGCATCCTCCAAGGAAAACTCATTTCAAAATTCAAATCTCATCTAAATCTTAAACCTTTGCATCAATCTTTCACAACCTAACATCATTAGAAAGAATCAACGTCAAGCTCAAAATCCTCTAGTTACCTACACTACAAGTCTCATAAAACTTCATTCTCGGACCACCATGGCAAGACGTTTCACATAAGAAGAGAAAGGAAAGGGACAACGTACCGAAAAAGACGAGCCGTACATCAAAAAGATTAAAGCTTCACATGTTAACAACTCGGCGCTCATCAAGGAAAACTCCCTCACACTAATTGGAAGAGTTACAAACCCTCAAGAACAAAAGATATGGTCCCTCTTACCGGCATTACCTCTCAAATGGAACCTACAAGGAAGAGCTACGGGTTCAGATCTGGGCAACGGATGCTTCCAGTTCAGATTCGAGAGAGAAAAAGATCTAATGAGTGTGCTCGATAACAGACCTTACCACCACGCTTACTGGATGGTCATAATCTAACGATGGGAGCCAATAATCTCCCCTCACTTTCCTTCGCAGATCCCATTCTGGATTCACATCACGGGACTTCCTCTCCATTTCTGGATAGATGACGTAATCTGTGACATTGGGAAAGAGTTAGGCACACTCCTCAACCATGAGCTTACTAAGTCTACTGCAAGAGTCAAGGTCCTAAGTGATGGCCTCAAACCATTAACCAAGAAATCTATTTTGGAATATGACTCAAGGGAGGAAAGTACTATCTACCTGGAGTATGAAAGGCTAGAGAATCACTTTTCGTACTGTAACTCCCTCTCTCACCTAAAGCGAGACTGTACCTCCTACAGAGAGTTTGAGAGAAGGGATAAGCAGGTCATAGAAGAAAAGGGAGACTCCCAGAGAAACTATGCCCACATTAACCAAGACACAGCGACTAGATCTGAAAGGAAGTACTACACTAACACTAGACAACCACCAAACACTGTCAGACCTACCTTGCCAAGCAAGCAACCAGTTGAAGCATTTCGCCAAAGATTTGATAGACAGGGGAACCCGTTTGGAGACAGAGTAGCAACGAAACAAACGAGGGTACATACACCACCAAGACTCCCTGAGAGGTCAGGGAGTGAACTACTCACCTGGAAAAAGAAATCAACGGAGGGTGAATCTGAGGGACAAGGATGCAGATCACCACCATACACAAAGAGAATGGAACATAGAGAGAGTAGAGATGTAACGAACCGGGTTCCGTTTCCCAAAGAGAATTGAAGGAGTGGAGGGTTAAGGAACCAACACAACCGCAACGAGAAAATCACTCAAAGCAGTTAGAACCAGGGGAGATCTCAGACCCCAGAGAACAAATCATTGAGCAACCTCAGCAAGCACATAAGCAGTACTAAACAGAGGAGGAAGTGATGCAAGACCTCGATGAAGCCACTCTACGATACATAAACGTCCCAGATCCCACTGAGGCAGCTGCACAAAGACAGAGAGTACTCTTCAGCGATGCTAATGGACAAACAGAGGAGACTGCGGATGTAATTCTGAATCAATTGGACTCTCACAAAACACATAAGCTCTCGAGCACAAAAAGGTCCAAGTAATGAGCCTCAATCTAAAGAAAAAGTCTATCAAATTTTACAAGAAGCCACAAGACAGTACCTTAGCAGCTTTGACCCTATGGAAGCCACTGCTAGGAGACAGAGAGTTCTGAATGGAGAAGAAGAAGGTGATACTGAAGCTGCAGCTAACTCAATTATGGATACAAATTCACAACAAAGACGATCCATGTCCCCTTGGGAAAGAGGAATCAGATCAGAGAGCCCTCCGGGAATTGATTTCGACCTAGCTATGCAACTGACAGATTCGGAGAAATCACCTACACCGATTCCAAGAGCAACTCCAAAGGCGAAAAAGAAAGGAACAAGACTAAGATCAGATATCTTCACTCCAAACATCCTAAATGGAACAAGTTCTAAGAAGATGAACTTATCTCAGTTAAGACTCACACCATGAAGAAGCAGCAAATCACCTGAGAGAAAGAAGAATATGAAAGTAGACGCAGGGAGTGTGAACATACCAACGGCAGGACAACCATCCAATGTGAATAACTCTCCTATCCACTTAATCCCTGCTATCTCCAAAAAGAAGTCGGATTTTCGGCTTCTTCCACACCAGCCTCCTTAATCATCCTCTCCTGGAACTGTTGTGGGTTGGGAAACCCTATAACAGTCCAGAGACTCAGGGAGATGTATCAAAGAAAAACTCCCCTGACATAATATTTCTTATAGAAACCAAGAACACCACTACGACGATCAAAGACAAACTTGACTGGCTAGATATGGATAACTTCCATGCTAATCCCCCGAGTGATAATAGTGGCGGAGGTCTATTCTTGTTGTGGAGAAACGATATTGGGCTAACCGTCAATTCAGCATCGCAAAACTACATTGACACAACAATAATCAACAAAGGCATTACCTTTAAATCCACATTCATCTACGAAGAACCAGACCAATCTAAGAGGTTAGCAGTCTGGAATGAGCTGACATAAATGAAACCTGCAGTAGGAGAACCCTGGTTTCTATCAAGTGATTTTAATGAAATAATTGATAATAGCGAGAAAAAAGGAGGCACAGTTCGAGCCGAAGGAACATTTTGTACATTCAGATCGTTCCTTGCAGAAAATGATATGTTTGATATCAAGCAGTATGGGAACTTTCTATCATGGAGAGGAAGAAGATAATTAATGAGATGGTCACTCTTGTTCCACATAAGTACAGTAGCGATGAGCTATAGGTAAACCTGGATAATATTTGCATGGTGGATGGTTCATGAACTTCCATAGCTCAGTCAGTGGGTGTGATTGGGTGTGGAATGATAGTCTTGGGAAGATCCAGCTCATGGAAATGTGAAACTTAAGATATTAAGAGTATGCTTCAACGTTCGTCATGTTAGCGCTTTAGGACAGATGGTAAAGATCTCATCATGATGATAAAGGAGCCTCAAGCTTCGCCAAATTTTGCAACGGAAATAAAGACTATTAAGATACTGCATATATGTTTTTCAGACTTCTAGATATCTCATTTCCCAAGGACACAAAATCGAATCTTGAATTCTTTAGCTAAGATTGTGAAATATTTTTCATATATTTTTTTGTTGTGTTAGTTGTTTTATTCTGGTCTAGTTACCCCAAAAAAATATTTTAAGTTTGACTAATAGAAGAATCGTATGATGTAAAAAAAATACTTCAATTGTTTTTGATATTGGCTATTTTTTCAAATTAAGTTAGTCAGAATTTTGATCCAAATAACTTATTAACAGAAATCAGTACATACAATTAAATGTTTATTTGCTAAATAGAATGTGTTCTCAAGATTATGCACATACAAAAATACATTTCATTGTTCATTGAATATTTTTTGGGTTATTTGATGGAATATATTCATCACCAATAGAGCTGAGCCTGAGATATTAGGAGCTATATTCAAAATTTTATATACATGACATAATATTTATAAACATTTTTTAATATATATCAATAGATTATGTTTGTGATATATGGAGTAAAAGTGAGTGGAATAAAAATAAGAAAAAAAATATGAGGAAAAAGTTGGGAATAAAACAAACACTCTGTTGGATAAGAATTTTATTCGAAGAACTATAAAACTAAGAAAATGAACTATAAAAAGACAAAAAGAAAGTTTACTCTATAGTATATATACTAAAGGGGTCATTGGTTGTGGTTGTAGATGCTCTAAACATCCCAAATTTAATCTCGAGACATATATATCAACCAATCAAGCTTTCTTTTTTTTTTAAAAAACCTATAGCCAAAAAATCTCTAAAAAATTAAAAAGTGGTTGTAGAAAACTCTATTTCTAGAGCAAAAAATAGTGCTTTAAAAAGTTACAGCAAAATAATTTACAGCAAATAAATCTACAACTTAAATTCTACCGTAAAAAACATACAGCTACAGCTGACTCCAGTCACCTCCTAACTCATTTTGTTTTCTTACTTTCGATAAGATTGATATCACCGTTTACTCTTAAAATTTTTCTAATATGCACTACCAGTTAGGTCTGGGCAAAAAAACTGGAACCAAAGAACCGAACCGAAATATCCGAAACCGGAACCGAACCGAAACCCTAAAATATCTGAACGGTTCTTATATTTATATATCTGAAATAACCGAATCGAGAACCGAACGGATACCCAAATATATAATAATATTAATTTTATATACATATAACATAACCAAATATATGATTTTAATTTTAAAAATCTATTAGAAGTATCCAAAAATAGTTGTAGAGAACTAAATAATTAAAAAGTATCTGAACTACATGAAAGTATACAGATAACTTTATCCAACTATCCAAAATAATATGAAATATCTGAAATTTGTATCTAATTCGTTCTAGTTCTTTAATATTTTATTCTAAATAACTGATAATTTACCCGAACCCAAACCGAAACTAAATGAGAATCGAATTTTCTAGGTATTTTCTAATTCCTAGTTTTATTATCCGAACCGAACCAGAACTATCTGAACCGAACTGAACCAAAAATAAGTCAAGTAGTCAATGGATCCTCTAATCCTTTACCTGAACTACCCGAAATCCAAAATACCCAAACCGAATCGATACCCGAAACGCCCAGACCTACTACTAGTCATAACAAGCAACGAGTAAGTATTAGTATTAGTAGAAAAAATTTAGAAATTAGGAGCCCTACAAACTGGGGGCCCATTAAAATGTTTGAACCTCATGTGGTCAAGCCCACTCTGATCACCAATCAAAGTCCTTATAGTTCAGTCCCAACACTGTTTTAGTCAGCTTACGTTTCTCGAAAATAGTGACATTTTGGAAAAGCTGACATATAAAGGAAGTGAGTTCTTGACGTTTTGTTATTATTATCTATTACCTTTCCATTAGTCTAGAAACACCAAGTTGTTGATTCTGGGAAGAAGAAGAAAAATATCCACCAATTGTTTTTTGACTATGGCTCTTTCTTCTCCGACCAACCCACATTTCTTCCAACCTCTTCCTCCCGGTTTCACCAAGCACCTCGTACGGTCTCTGTTTCTCTATCGCTCCCTGACCAAGTTGGTTCTGTTTCTAACTCGCTTTCATGTTTCAGGACATTCCTGTGGCGTTCTTTTTGAAGCACTTAGATAAAAGTAACAAAGGCAAAACGGCGAAGCTGAGATCAGACACTTCAGAGACGACCTGGAAAGTGAAGCTTGACGGTCGGAGATTCTCTGACGGTTGGGAATATTTCGCCGTCGCTCATGATCTCCGAGTTGGTGACATTGTTGTTTTCAGACACGAAGGAGAGTTAGTGTTCCATGTCACAGCTTTAGGACCAAGTTTTTGTGAGATTCAATATGGAGAAGATAGCCAGGAAGAGGACAAAATGGGTAAACCTCAGTTTTATATTCGATTTTTATCACCATTAGGATGTGTCTGAGACTTACTTAATCTCCTAACAGAGAAGGTTTGTGATACGACGGAGAAGATTTCTAGAAAGAAGAAGAGATCAGAGGCAGAAATAGATTCTTCAACAGACCAATCTTCTTTTGTTATCGCAGCCACCGCATCCAATCTAAGACGTGATATAGTGGTTATGTTACTTTCTTGTTATACAGTAATTTTGAGATTTTAAGTGAGAGTTGCTTTAACTTTTGATTCATATTAAAACTTGTGGCTATATTTTTGCAGTATCTTCCGAAAGCCTTTGCAGTGTTAAATGGTCTGATGAAGAAATTTGAGATTGTTTTAATGAATGAAGAAAGAGAATCGTGGAAGTTATACTTGACACAAGAGTCATATTCAGGCCGGTTTTACATGAGCAATGGCTGGAGAAGTTTCTGTGTTGCTAACGGTAAGAAACCTGGAGACATGTTCACATTCAAATTGGTCCAAAATGAAGCAACACCTGTTCTCAAATCGTTCCCCTTGAACAATGAACATCAGCATAAACTTGGTAAGTTGATTTGCATATACCGTTGTTAATTTATTATGCATCAACACACTTGTAGAAGGCTTTCATCATTGGTCCTTAAAAATCTAATGAATGTGATAAGTATGGGGTTAATCTGAGTTTTCTATTTTTTAAAATTCTTAAATACAATGCAAATGAGATTCTACAGCTGATACAGAGAAGGTCCCAAAAAAGAAGCGTCAAGAAATAGAAGCAGATTCTTCTTTCGTGGCCATTGTCACGGATTCAAACATAAGACGCGATACAATGGTTTACTTTCATAATACTCCTTACTTATCAAATACACTAATCTTGATTTGAGTGAGGTGTGTTTCTATAGCTGTAACTAAACTTGTGGCAACGTTTTGTAGTATCTTCCAAAAACGTTCGCAGTGTCAAATGGTCTGAAAAGGAACTTTAAGATTGATTTAATGAACGAGAAGGGAGAATCATGGACGATAGACTTGAGACACGAGCCATACTCAGGCCGGACTCTTATCACAGGAGGCTGGAGAATTTTTTGCGTAGCTAATGGGAAAAAACCGGGAGACATGTTCAATTTCAAATTAATCCGAAACTTGGAAACACCTGTCCTTAAGTTGTTCCCTTTGAATCTGCAGAAACTTGGTAAGTTTGTCTTCTCTTTTGTTTTTTCTTGAAACACAAACCAATAACAGAAGTTGGTTTTTGTTTCTCTATAGAGCCTAGCAATGACACAAGGCAAGGTTTAGAAGCTACGGAAAAAGATTTTCTTGGAGCAGAAACTAACAGTAAAGACTCAAGGCAAGGAAGCTGTTTTAGAGTTAGGGACAACGATTTTCTTCCTTGTGAAGAACCTACCATCAAAGAAGAAAATATCACAACAAGCGAAAACCGATTTGTGACATTAAGACTTACTTCTACTAAACTTGTAAGTTCCACAACATGACTCTTGTGTGTTTTTCTTTTAATTTTTTTTTTTTTCACTTGTTATGTAATGAAATCTACAGGATCTTCCGTTGGAATTCACGAAGGGGAATGGAATAAAAAAAGCAGAGACAATACAGATGATTGATAGGTACGGTACAAAATGGTCGACGTCACTACTCATGAATAAGAAGAAAAGAGGAGCAATGCGTTTAGGAAAGGGTAGCAAAGGCTTCTGTGAAGTTAACGGCGTTAAGATGGGCGAGTCTTTTGTCTTGGAGTTGCTTTGGGAAGACACAGTTCCGGTTCTTAAGTTCTGTTCCAAATGTTGAGAACCACATTAAGAAAGTTTGTTTAGATATGTTGTCAACGATCGCTGCTCAAAGGAACTTCAATGGATTTTTGGTTTCTTTCTTTTTTGGTTCAACAATAATTTATATTACCCAAATCTTGGTTACATAATCATTAACTTTAAATTTGAACTCTTTCTAGAGTGTTACAACAAGCCATATAGTTAATTGAACTGCATTACTTAAATTAAACCGATGGTTATGTATGAGATATAGTCTTGGGCTTACTTTTGTTTTTAGGACAAATTATTTGGTTTGATTTTTAGGCTTACTATTAAGGAAAAACTCCAAAAAACATTGAATAAAATTTCTATCTTAATGGATCAAAAAATCAATTATTATTTTCAGACCCAAATGTATTTAATATTTTTATCAAAACAAAATTGTCTATTATTAATCATTTATTTAAATCATGTACGTTAAAACATGTTATGGTATTTTTTATTTTAAATAACAATCAATTTTTTTGATAAATTTCAATGGTAACTTTTAAATAATTTATTGTTTTATTTTTCTTAAATAATTTACTGATTTAAAGAAAATAAATGTAAAGCAAAACCAAAAACCAATTCTAAAAACTAAAATCCAAAACCAAAAGCTGAAAACGCATTATTCTGGATAACATATTGTTATAGTTTTTGCTTTTCTTTATTTACAAAATAAACTATTGCAATTTTTTTTTTTTTAAAAGTTGTCACCTTTTGAGTTTTAAATTAGATGTTCGATTATTTGAAATTTTTTTGTTGGTAATATCAGTTCAAACTAACTCAGCGGATCTAAAAATTAAAAACCCAAACAAAAGCTGAAAATCAAAAATAGAAACTTAAAAACTAAAAACCAAAATCTAAAAATAAAAACTGAAACTAAAAACTAATGAAAAAAATCGTCACCACAAATTTTGATAAACTGATTTTATACCAAAACATTCTTTAAATTAAGACATAACCCAATTATATAAATTTTAGTTATAAAAAATTTCCACGCTTTCAAGCGCGGATCAAAATCTAGTTAACATTACTAGAGGGTTAGACAACACTTACACACCTAGGATTGACATGGTACTATCTATCACCCATGAGATTATCCAGTCTACGTATAGGTTAACCTCATGAGACTTTTTTTTTTGTCACTTCCTTCATGAGACATTAAAGGCAGCATTATCTCCAGTCTCTTAAGATACAGTTCTTAATTCATGATTTGACTTTTCTGATTTTTTTTTTTAACATTTTTTGGTTAAAAGGCGTTTTTATAGTTTTTATTTAAGACACGGTTTTTAAGTTTTCTTAGTTAAAAGCTGAGAAACGTATCTTAGAAAAGATAAGAATCCCACCTAAAAAGACCGGAGATAATGATGGTCTAAAACATGACTGTTGGTAGTTATGTTGCAACTTCGTAGTCTAAAACATGACTGTTGGTAGTTATGTTGCAACTTCATAGTCTAAACTAAGGAAAAGGGTCTATTTCAACCTGAACTTTACCAGTCATGCTTATTTCTTCCCGAACTTTGTAGTAGTGCGCATTTCATACTGAACTAAATAAAAACTTAAAAAATACTACCTGAACTTTACTCATCATGCCTTTTCATTCCCGAACTTTATAGTAGTGTATATTCCACACTAAACTAAATAAAAGTATAAAAATACTACATGAACTCTCAAAATCGTGCTTATATATATAAACCAACAAATTTGTTAGTCATCCATTAATTTATCAAAATAACGTCAGTTTCGATAAGTTTTCTAAACTAGAAATTTAAATATTCTACATAAACTTGCAAAATCGTGCTTATATATATATTAACCATCAAAGATGTTACACATCCGGTAATTTATCAAAACAACGTCATTTTTTTATAAATTCTGTAAATTAGTTTAAAAATCCAACATACGCTCTTAAATTTTGCTTATATATATTGATCATCAAGATGTTAGTCATCTATTAATTTATCAAAACAACGTCATTTAGGATAAATTTTATAAAACTAAAATAATTATGGGATGTTCAAATTTTCACACTAATGGACAAGTATAAAATGAATATTTTAATTAATAATAATATTTTACAAAACAATTATTTGTTAATTTACATTTAAAACATAAATGATTATAGATTGATTTGATAAATTAAAAAAAAAAGTTGATAACATTTATTTGATTAAAAACTTATATAAGTTAATGTTTACATAATTTAGACAAGAAAGTTACTTTCGTCTAGCAATTATTTTGCTCTTACTTGTCCACCGGTGTGAAAATTTGAACCTCCCAAAAAAAGTATTTTTAATTTTATAGAATTTATCCAAAATGATGTTGTTTTCATAAATTAACTGATGAGTAAAATCTTTATGATTAATATATATAAGCATGATTTTGCAAATTTATGTAGTATTTTTAATTTTATAGAATTTATCCAAAATGATGTTGTTTTCATAAATTAACTCATGAGTAAAATCTTTTATGATTAATATATATAAGCATGATTTTGCAAGTTTATGTAGTATTTTTAATTTTATAAAATTGATCTAAAATGACATCATTTTGATAAACTAACGGATGACTGACAAATTTGACGGATTATATAAGTACGATTTTGAGAGTTCGTGTTGTATTTTTATACTTGTGTTTAGTTCAGTGTGAAATATGCACTACTATAAAGTTCAGGAAGGAAAATGCACGATTTGTAAAGTTCATATAGTATTTTTAAGTTTTTATTTAGTTCAGTATGGAATACGCACTACAACAAAGTTCGGGAAGAAATAGGAACGATTGATAAAGTTCAGGTTGAAATAGGCCCTTTTCCCGTCTAAACTATTATTATATGTAATCTTATCTATGTAATGTAAATTTGAAAATTATATTATTTAATAAATAAAACATTTCTTCAAATATTTATACAATAATGAAGATATATATATAAATTACTTTTATTGTGTAAGTGAAATGACTTGGTAAATAATTCATCTAATTTAGTTGCATGCATTTTAAGTAATTTGGCATTTTTTGTATTTTATTATATTAAAATAATTTAATCTTCTTGTTTATTTGGGTTGGCTTGAAAGTTTATTATGTTCTACAAGTCATCAACTTGATAACAAGAAAAAAATGAATTTTGAAATACAAGAGGGAAGAATCCCTAGTTGTCTCATACCACACTGAAATGATTTGCTCAACCAGAATTTTAAAAGTATTCTCCTATAATTGTTTATGCTTTAAATTTAATCTCACTCTATTTAAAGAGTAATTTGAAATGACTGAGGTTCTCAGCTATAAATTATTTTTTCATGATGTTTCATCTTGGTTGGTAACCATGATTGATATATACCAATGTGAGTGCTTTAGAGAAATCTACAAGTATGAGTTAACAAGTATTAGAACCAAAAGATAAGTCTCAGTCTGAATGATGCCTTATTCAAACATTTCATCAACTTTATTTTGAAACATCTTCAAACAAATCTTTAATCGATAATAAAATCAGGTACCAAATAAAGAACAAATCATAGAATAACACAATAAGAAGAGTTATTTATTTATATGTTTAATGACACAAAAAATATAATTTTGAAATATTCCATAAACTTTATTTTGAAAACCTTCAAACAAAGTGTTAACCAATAATAAAATTAAGTAATAAACAAAGAAAAAACCATATCATAACACAATAAATAATAAGTTATATTTTCAGTGACAAAAATATATATTATAGACTCAAATAAGAATAAAATTAAAATATATGTAAAAAATACCTGTAATTTACGAAACCATAAAGGATCCGGGTCAGGTTCGGGTACTTAAGATCTGAAAAAATTTTAGTACCAAAAATCGATCAATAGTTAGCCAAAATTCATCATGTTTATCTAAAATTTTGTACAACAATCAATATTAAGCTATTAATTATTGGAACTAAACATTTTTACACTCTAAATTTAACATTTAAAGTTTTATATTACTTGGAAAATGTTATAAAAGTAATAATGAAGATTGTTAAAGAAAAATATTTCAACTAAATCATAAACTAAAGTAAAGAAAATAGAACACATGATATTATACCTTTGTATAAGTCGGGTTTGAACCAGTTCTTAGCATGTCAGGTCTATTCGGATTGGTTCTTTCGAATAAAGAAAATTTTGACCAACCAGGTATTTTATAAATTTTCGGTTTGGTTTTGGGTCGGGTATGAAAAAAAAAAAATTTTCTTTTTATAACTCATACTCTCACTTTAACTGAAAAGTAAAGATTGTAATAAAAAGAGATAACTTAAGTATCTAAAGATGAAAGAAAATTAATGTGAGTACAAGACAAGGTAGTATAAATTTATTTATTAAATTTTCCAAAATGCTCCAGAAGAGCACATAAACATTACTAAACATAAGAGCACATAAAGCCAGAACAATCTAAAAATGAGACTCAATGCGAGATTGATAAACATGCAGTATAATCATCTCAAGGGAAAAAATTAAAGAATCTCATATATCATAATAAGTGAAACATCTAGAATACTATGTTCACAATAATACTACGACTAATTAATCCTTCCTATATTAAATTCATGATATTATGAGAAAACTCATATCCTGAGAGTAAAGACAATAAGAAAATAAAATGTTCAATACATTTCAAATTTTAAGTATTTCTCAAGGGAAAATGGCATATTTAAACCTGAACTTTATCAATCGTGTTTATTTCTTCCCGAACTTTGTTGTAGTGTGTATTCCATACTAAACGAAATAAAAACTTAAAAATACTATATGAACTTTACAAATCGTGCATTTTCTTTCTTGAACTTTATAGTAGTGTATATTTCACACTGAACTAAACAAAAGTATAAAAATACAACACGAACTTTGAAAATCATACTTATATATAATCCGTCAAATTTGTCAGTCATCCGTTAGTTTATCAAAATGAAATCATTTTAGATCAATTTTATAAAATTAAAAATACTACATAAACTTTCAAAATCATACTTTTATATATATATTAATCATAAAAGATATTACTCATCAGTTAATTTATGAAAACAACATCATTTTGGATAAATTCTATAAAATTAAAAATACTTTTTTGAGAGGTTCTAACTTTCAGACTGGTGGACAGGTAAGAGAATAAT